GGCACCATCTAGCTGTACTGGACTCAGTTAATTCGGTACATTTTTTAATCTAAGCTGCAGTGTACTGGAGGCCAGAGACCCCACCTTAGACATCCATATATTTCCCCCCAAGTGACCAGCATGTAGTAAGCAACTGATTACTATTTGCTAAATATATGGGTTACCCTATTCTTCTACTCACTACATTTATTTCCTATCACAGGAACCTTTGATGTCGTTTTTCTTTCTCCAGAGCTATTTCCTTCCTTTAACTGACAGCCTCCTTTTTTAAGTTCTTGATGCAGAGGATAATAATTACATTTCTCTAAAACGTTGCACTTCTAAATTCATCCTGAGGTTTCAGATTTTTAAAACTCCATGCATCTGCAAGAATCTTATTAAAGAATTTTTTTTTTTTTTGCTAAGGCTCATTTGAAAATATTGTTTCCCGATAGGCTATTTATGCCAGTATCCTTAAAATAATGAAATGATAGAATATAATTACTTCCTACCTTCATGGTAACCGTGATGGTGCTATTCACATTTGCTTTATACAACCAGCCTTGTTTTATCACACCACCTTTCTGAGAACATAAAGAAGATGAGTCCTGAAACAGAGCAAAAACCACCGGTAAAACAGCAGCCAGCCAGCCATCTATAAACAGTCAAACATATGGGAGACACAGTACTAGGCCCTGCCCCATTTCCTAATTAAAGCACAAAGCCCCTCTCCCCTACAAAAATGCCTGATTATTAAACCTGAAGCTGTTGACTACACAATGAAAGGCTCTGTGCTATGCACACAGTAGGCACTCAATATTTAAAAAAGAGAATTATGGACTCTTTTCTCGGAAAGTCTTCTGCCTTATGTAAACAGTCAAGCTGCACCATGAAATGTCACAGGAATCCAGGCCATCTGTCACAAGAGGGATCAATCAGGCAGGAGAGTCCAAATGAATCACCACACCACACGCCCAATGCTGGAAAAGCAACTCCACGAGCACGTCCCACAGGTGGGGGAATTTGTTTATATACAAATCACAGCCCATTTCACCTGAGTTTTCCTAAATCCCATTTGGAAATGCAACAATCTAAAAAAAAATTAAAACACTCAGTTTGAAAGCTGGCCACAGATCATTGGGGAAAAAAAAAAAAACAAAAACAATTCTTTTCCTCGTCTTTTCTCAAGGAATTCCCTTTGGCATCTCTCTCAGCAGAAGTGGCCTTGAAGAAACCACTGCAGTTGCCCCTATATCCTTACCTCATCCTTCTCACAGTCCTCATCAATCTCAAATACATGATTGGGAATCTTTTCTGGTCTCAGAGATTTGCTGAAATTGCAAGATAATTGTCTTAGACATTGAATAGAACAGAGGGACAAAACAATGCCGATGAGTGGACTTGATTCTTTCACACCCAAGAAAATGTCTAAATACAAGAAGGAGAGATCATTTTCTCCTTTCCAAATGTAGATTCTCCCCTCTGATTAACTTAGTTTTCATAAGGACTTCCACATGTGCAGGCAGCAACAAAGCAATAAGTAAACTGAGAGACTCAATGCCTCGTCAGGGAGAACAGAGGTTGGCAAGGGTTGTGGGCTAAAGCTTTTAGCAGTGGCAGGATATCTTCCCCCAGGTCAATAAGCAGTGTAAGCAATCAAGATGTCCTTCAATAGGTGAATGGATAAACAAACTATGGGGCATCCATATGATGTAGTTGTATTCCACAGTAAAAAGAAATGAGCTATCAAAATACAAAAAGGTATGGAGGAACCTTAAATGTGTTCTGCTAAGTTAAAGAAGCCAGTCTGAAAAGGCACCATACTGTATGGTTCTAACTACATGGCATATTGGAAAAGTCAAAGCTAGAGAGACAGTAAAAAGGTCAGTGGTGCCAGGGGTCCAAGGGGAGGGAGGATGGGATAAATAGGTGAAGCATAGGGCATTTTTAGGGCAGTGGAACTATCCTGTAGGATACTATAATGGTGGACACATGACATTATGCATTTGTCAAAACCTATAGACCTGTACAACACAAAGAGTGAACCGTAATATAAACTATGTATTTAATTAATATTAATGTTATCAATACTGCCTCATCAATTGTAACAAACGTACCACAGGAATGCAAGATGCTAAGCATAGAGAAAACTGTGCAGGGAGAAGAGGCGGTAGATGGGAACTCTGTGTACTTTCTGAGCAATTTTTCTGTAAACCTAAAACTGCACTAAAAAATAAAGTGTTGTTTTTTAAATTTTTTTATTGTACTTTAGATGAAGGTTTACAGAACAAATAGTTTCTCATTAAACAGTCAGTACACATACTGTTTTATGACATTGG